GTGGGAGAGCGTCCTCTTTGAGGCTAGCACCAGGGAGGCAGCCTGGGGACCAGAGAGTGGTCTCCTACCCCTGGAGGCAGCTCAGGCGGATTCACAACCAGGCAGATTCTGCTTCTGAGCGGCTTCACTCTGCTCTGCACACAGTCCTACGGGTCACACCCGGCATCTCCATGCCGGGGTACCCCACAGCTGCTCCACCTCATCTTTCGTTAAGGATGGGCCTGGACCTGGACCAGCCACCTCCCTGATGGCTCCAGTGCTGCTCAGCAGCCAGAGAGAACCAGACTCAATGCAGCCTTGTTGGGACTCCACATCCACTCTGTGTGGAGAGATCAAACATTTGATTTATTTTAGAAACTTTATGTTTATATTTGTCATCTATTAAAGTATAATGTATGCTAAATTTTACATGTGTCCATGCATGTGTGTGTCGCATAATGCGTGTGCCATAGATATCCAGGTGTTACATGTGCAGATCATATACAGGTGTCACACACATGTCATGTGTGTCGTACACAGGCATGTGTTGTGTACAAATGTGTCACACAATGCATGTGCCATAGGTATCTTGGTGTTATATGTGTATATCATATATAGGTGTCACACATGTGTCACGTGTGTCATACACAGGTTGTGTACGTGTGTGTCACATGCATGCGTGTCCTGCATGTGTCATCAGTGTGCATGTGTCATGTATCTGTGTGGGACCATTCCTTTGTGCTCTCGTTGCTGGGCTCATCTCCAAGGACCTTTCTCTCACCTCTTTTCTCTCCTCGGCCCCACATCCTGGGGTTGATCAGATCTTCCAGCATGACCTCAAGGAGGCTTTTTGACTTTTGTGTCCAGAGCTCCAGTGTCTTTGTGGGTGACAAGACTGGGCTTGTGTTTTCTCATCTGTGGCCTTTCTTCTATACAGTGTTGCAGCAATGCTCTCCTTTTTCTGTTTCAAGGGTCTGGTGTTTTTTCCATTAGTCAGTGTGAGTCCCACCATATGGTGGGGTGTGGTGTCTGCCGGGAAGCTTGTCCTGTGGCACAGTTCATAGAGAGGACATTGGCTGCAGGTAACCACAGACTAAGAGCAAGCATCACTTTTCTCTTGTACATACAGGATTGTGCTTCATTGCTTTAGAAAACATCCTCTATAAATAAACTCTGTGAGGCTGGGATTCAAATGGAGGAAGCAGCTGGCAGATGAAACTACCTATTGGACTATCATCTGCTTAAACATACAAGGAGGATCTTGTGAAGTCTAAAGTAAACACAACGGCCTATTTGAGCCTTATATACCAGAGACTTAAACAAATCTCGTTTAGTCCTGTTAAATGGTGTCTCCCCCAACGGAAACAGAACCTGCCAGTTAGTTAGTTGAACATCCTGACAAAACCTCCCAGGGCTGCACTATAGGGGAGAAAGGTGTTTATTTAAAAATATCTTTCAGCGGAAAGTCAGCTGTGTGTCTGCACATCTCCTCGGGAGTAATAAATGAAGACAGCACACTCTTAACAGGAGCACAGTGCCAGCAAGAGCCCCAGGAACTCTGCAGACGAAGACAGGAAAAGCTGGAAGTAAGGAAACTCACTGGTCCCTTAGTACAGTCACAACTGCCTGTTTCACCCAGTTCCTGAGTACCCTTCATCTTAGTTGTGAAAGATCAGTCTCAGCTGGCAAGTGCTGGTGCTGGGATTCGAGCCCAGGTGGTCAGAACCCTGCTACCAGGTGTGTATTCTGTGGAATCTCACAGGTGTCTGTTACGTGAAATCTCACAGATGTCCATTCTTTGGAAGGTTCCCAACACCAGTGGGTCTCATGCATGATCAAAGTGACAATCAGCTGGGCATGGTGGCATGCACCCGCAGTTCTAGGGGAGGTGGGAGGATTGTGTCAGCTCAAGAGTTCCAGACCAGCCTAGACAACATAGTGAGACCATATGTCAAAGAAATTTTTTTTAGTTAAAATTTTTTTGAGAAATTAAAAGTTCAAGCACTAAGAGAAGAGAGTCAGGGTGTGAGGATGTGATAGTTGCATTATTAAATCCAACTACCTGCTTTCCATCTGACAAGGGCCCGCCTCCCCCATGTGTCCCTTGCGGGGACCGTAATGTTCTGTCCCTGTGATGGTCACCTGGCCATGGACTTGCTCTCACCGTATGATGTGCACAGACACGTATGTGCCAAAGCTGATGAAACCAATTAAAATCCATTTTGTGATTGACTCTTGCTTGCTCTGTGCAAGAATGGCACCTTCCAGATTAGAAGTGCTCCTGGAGCCCAGGCCCTGGCACAAGAAGATGTGTGGTGACTGTGGTCATCAGCGAGCAATGTGGGCAACAGATAAAGCCATGCTTTGCTCAGCCACTGAGATACTGGGGTTCAAGTTACCATGGCTAACCGAATTAATGCAGGGAGTCTGTGCTTTATAAGCCATCTTTGGATGGATCTAGGTTCAGTTTTGCAAAGGAAAACAGGTGATTTCCTTGGAACTTGGTGACTTTCTGGTCATAAAGTCCCAGTCCCACGTGTGGCCCAAGCATTGGTAGTCTGGTTGCTGATGAAGATCAGACTCTGAGTCTAAATTTTCTGGAGACCTGTGCTTCCCAAGGGAGGCCCTAGGTTGGCCCTTGGATAGATTCTGTGCAGTAGCAACTGCTGGAAGACCACACAGCTCCCACGGGCTTCCTGTCAGAAGAGCACCGACTTGGTTGTCAGGGACCCTGGACGTGCCCTCTTGCCCTGTCCTCACCGGGTCCTCTGTGGCTGCTGGGGAAAGTAGCTTCCTGTCATCACTCATGACTGGGCAGCCACATTGGGCTCAGGAGAATGTTACCTCAATTTAGGGTATTGGTAATATTAAGATAGGAAAATTATCTTTATTATTTATTATGAAAAATTGGTAAATATGGAACATATGTAATAGTATATGGAAGCTTTGAAACTCAGTGATGAAATAAACCGCTGCGGAGAGGCCATTTCTCTGAAACTATGGAAAACAATCCAAGCTGCTGCGGCTCGTTCCTGGCCCTGCATTCCTGCTTCCCTGGGAGATGTGGCCACTCTCCAGCATTTAAAAAAGTATTCCTTCATTTAAAAACTAGTTTCGATACCTGTACAGTACATTTTAGCGTTTCTGGGATCTGTTGTGATCTTACTGTGTTCTCTGTGGCCTGCTTTGTTCTTCTTTACCTTTCTAAGTTTCTACCATGTTGCTGCGTTTGGTTCAACCAGTGCTGATAGGGACATGTCTGCCCTTGTCTTTCAGTGAACATTCGCAAGAGATTTTCCAGGATGAATATCCATGAACCAGAATTTCTGAGTCATAATGTATGTGCCAGCCTGGACGTTTATGCTTTTCTCCATATTCACTGGCAGATTCATCTAGTTGATAAATGCAGCTGCCCATGGGCCTGCTGTGTCCCTCTGACCTTCCATATGCACCAGTGGGTGGTGTGAGCTCAAAGCTTGCTGTCCCCTCTGTCTCTCTCTCTGCTTCTTTCTGTCTCTCTCTGTTACTGTCTCTGCCTCTCCCTCTCTCTCTCTTCCTTTCTCTGTCTCTGTCTCTTCCTCTCTCTGTCCCTGTCTATCTCTGTCTCTCTGTCTTTGTCTCTGCCTCCCTCTCTCTCTATTCCTGTCTCTGTCCCTGTCTGTCTGTCTCTGTCTCTCTCTCTCTTTCTCTCTCTCTGTCCCTGTCTGTCTCTATCTCCCTGGGTCTCTCTCCCTCCCCACTGCAGGTTCCTCAGGGAGCAGGGCCAGGGCCCCCCACAAGGCCTGCAGGGGGGAGAGTGATGAGCAGCTGCCACCTAGAAGAGGAAAGAACAGTGTTTCACCTTGGGCATCGAGAGGTGTTTGTGGCTCCGTCTGTCTCTTCATTGTCTGAAGCCGCCTGCCTCCTCCTCCTCCCACTATGTTTTGAGAAAGTAGAGGGATGAGAGGCAGCCCTGTGAGGACTCAAGAAGAAGGGACTGTGTTAGTGTCCAGAGTGTAGGCAGGTGACTGTGTTCTCCACATCCAGGAAACTGAGGCAGGAGACCAAGGGCTGGGGCAGAGGGAGGAGGAAGTACAACAGGCAAATCTGAAATGTGAGGTGGAGACGGCTCTCGATGAGTGTGCATTGCTCATGGAGGAAGAAATGATGAGGCCGTAGGAGCCAACGTCGGGAATGGCTGTGTTCCCCTCTCCCGACGTTAGGAATGCCTGTGTTCTGGTCTCCCGACATTGGAAATGGCTGTGTTCCTGTCCCTGGATGTCAGGAATGGCTGTGTTCTGGTCTCCCGATTTGGGAATGCCTGTGTTCCCATCTCCCGATTTGGGAATGGCTGAGTTCCCCTCTCCCAACGTTGGGAATGCCTGTGTTTGAGTCTCCTGGGAGCTAGAGTGCCGGGTCTGGGGTCTGGTGCAAAGCAGTGGAGGTTCTGTTATCAGAGCAGCGGGAGAGCTGGGGAGGAAAGGAGGCCCTGCAGAGACTCGGAGCCTAGGGAGGGGCCTTCCCCACTGGCTTCTCAGCAGGGCAGGTACAAGTCTAGAGGCTTTTGAGTTCTTTTCTCTGGTTGCAACAAGCTGGAAGGTAATGGAAGAAGACGTCCTTTTTCTAGGCAAGAGTTACACCTGAAAGACTTTCAGGGAAGTGGCAGCCTGGGTGACAACAGGGCCCACGTTTCAGGAATCCCTTGGGACTAGAGAAACAGAGCAAAGCCCTGCTTTGCGAAGTGCACAATCATAGCCGAATTTAAACTGGTCAAAACCCTGGGGTTCAGGGAAGCCTCATGTCAGCCCTGTTGCTTGGCCACGGGGGTCTCTCACTGGAGTGAGGAAACTCGCCCTTCTCCGTGGGGAAGGTTTGGAGACAGGCCCACCCAAGTGTGCAGGATTTACAGATGCGGAAGTGCTGGGGCTTCTGCAGCAGTTAAGGCTTTGTGGAAGCTCTCCAAAGAACTGAACATGTTTTCTTAGCTATGAAACTGTAGCCCTCGGTGTTCTCTAATGATTTTTTTTTTTTTTTTCTAACAGGAACCTCAGAATTGAAGTTCGTGCTCCTATCAGAAAATCCACTGAGCCCAGGCGCCTGAGGGGCCATTCCTTGTTGCACCCACATCCCCGCTCAGCATTGATTGTTCCTTGGGTCGTATTATATCCGAGTCTTTGGCTGGAAGTTGTTAGTCTAACATTCTAGAATACAGAAATACAAGAGAAAACGAGGCCTTGAATCTGAGAACTGGGCTTGGGATTAAGAAGTCAGGGCTGGATTTCAGCACATGGAAATGGCATGATTGGCCTCCAGGCAGAAGCCACTGCTGACCGGGAGAGTCTGGTGAGGTCCCAGGTGGATGATTTGCTCCAAATTGTTGAGCATGAGATGCAGTTAATTTCCTGATGACATGACCTTGTGAACACAACACCAGCCGTGTCCTGGAAGGTTACTTCAAGGGAACATTTGGGCCCTAATACTTCATTCATGAACGTTGTCGGTAGAGTGACATCATGTCCATAGACTTGAGGAAACACACAGGGACTTGCACTGCCACCGTGGAAAATTTCACCAAAAATCGATATTGATGCTTGGAGAGAAGAGTGTGAGTCCCGTCGGGACAGGTTACACCGTGGGACAAGCAACTTGAAAATCTCAGTGATTTGAAAGAAAAATCATTATTTTTTGCTCTTGTCACTTGTACATAAAATTTGACCTGGGGGCTCTGCTCTGTGGTGTCCCCCAGGACCCAGGTAGGGGGCTCGGACGCTGTGGACACACAAGACTCTTGCAGGCTTGGAAGCTTTCACCTGGAGCTGTTGTGCTGGTGGTTTCTGTTTACATTCCATGCGCTGGAGGAAGTCGCATGGCAGATGCTAGAGGACCAGCATGGGAGAGCTGTTCTAGCAACCAGGACATCTGCCACTGCGCCCCACCTTCTCCAGGAAACAAGGACACCTGCACACACGCCCACTCGAGAGTCGGTGACCAGCCTCAGCTGTGGGGTTCTTGTAACGCGTGTTCCTGGTGGGGTTCTCCTTCCTGTCCTTCTGAGCTATGTGTGGATCATGCTCCCCATGCGTGGAGCCCAGGGACTGCCCACCAGTGGGACCAGGAAGTCTGTCTTTCAGAGAACTGGGAAGATTACCTTCCACTTTACCCGTGTCTGGGAGACTATAAACATGGGTTCCACCGTCTCGGACAATGAGACGATTCCCAGTCTTTGCCTGTCGCTCCTCTAGGTATGTTGCTGCTGTGAGCTTCTGGAAACACTGAGAGGAAGGGCATTGCTTTGGTGGGACATGTGGGGAGATGGGCAGGGAGGGGCGATCCCAGAGGCAAGGAGGAGGCTTTCCTCTCCCCACAATGGGAATTCAGTTTCTCGCCCCAGGGTCCTAATTGTGTTCAGCATCCCAGGAGAATGTGCGGGAAGCTGTTGTGTCCGCCTGCTGTGTGCAGGGACCAGCTACAGAGTGCATTGTGCATCATTTAGACTCTGCAGACTCAAGTGAAAACCCAGCTCTGCCACTGCTTTTTGGATGACCTTGCCACCTCCATCTCCTCCTTTGAAAAGTGTGGGAAATGGTGCTTTTCATCAATCCCAAGTCACCGTGTATTGTGGCCTAAACAGCAGTGTTTTCTTTTTCGCAGTGGCATGTAACATACTGCTGTGTTTTTCAGCAGATGCTGTCTTAGACGCAGTGAAGTCCAGTGATGGCTGTTTCAGAGGCGGTTAGGATGGTAAAGTGAGACAATGTGAATGGGGTGTTTTGTGAGCCTCTGTGCTGCAGAAATCCTAGCCATTATTTTATAGCAAGAATTGCTTGAAGTGTTTCTTTGTCTCAAATTTATGAAAAGATTAGAAAATAGTTCTAAAAATTAAAAACAGTTCTGGGCAGAGCAGCTTACATGATCGCAGTGAAAATGTGCAGGTTCATGGGTCCCACCACATGCGCCTGGCGTGGAGAGAACGAGGTGTGGAGGCCAATGATGCCAAGAATGCCCCGTGAGCCGCGCTGGGTGCAGCCTCCATGGCCAGCAGGCCGTGACACCATGGCTCCCGCTCCTGCTGTTGATGTTCACGCTTCCTCTACCCACGTGCTGGAAGCTCACTCTCCATGTCCCCTCTCAGTTACATGTCTCTGGGGCTGGTACAGGGAAGGAAGTTGGTGCAGCTGGTTGGATCTTCCCAGGGATGTTCTGTGTGTAAGGCTCAGGGGGCAAGGATGGCCGGGAGAGTCGGGAGTCAGACTCTCAGGGAAGCTGGGGGTGACAGAGCCTCTCCACGGCTGAGTCCCTGCTTTCCAGCTGTGGATGCCGACCCTCCAGAGCTTTATTCGCTGTCTCCTTGCTACTATGATCTGGAGTCAGCCATGTGTTCCACCTTGCCCAGTAGATTTTATTAAGTGCTGGATATGAAACAAGCCAAATGCCCGTTTCACTTACTGCATTCCTGAGATTCGATGCCTTTGCGGGAATTTCCTCCCCAAGCCTGAAGGAACTGAACATCAGGAATCTCTGGAATCCTGGAAAGAACCAGGTTTCTGGAGGAAAATCACTGGTTTTTAGCAGTATCCTGAACCCTCGAGGCCTGGGGAAGGCCGGCAGCACAGCTAGCAGGCGGATGTGGCTGGAGGACGGCAGTGGTGTCTGAAATTCTGTTTGTGATGCGTTGTTCCCTCCCGGCTGGGAACCACCTGGACACTCGTATTCTTCCCTTTTCCTTGGTATTCTCCTTCAAGTCATCCCCTGTGAGCCGCGCTGGGTGCAGCCTCCATGGCCGGTAGGCCATGACACCGTGGCTCCCTCTCCTGCTGTTGACGTTCATGCTTCCTGTGCCCACGTGCTGGAAGCTCACTCTTCATGTCCCCTCTCAGTTACATGTCTGTGAGGCTGGGACAGGGAAGGAAGCCTTACACACAGAATATCCCTGGGAAGATCTAACCAGCTGCACTGGAGCCAGCTGTCCAGTCCAGAGGAAATTCCAGCCCGCCCTTGGTCCGCTGTGGTTGGTCCTGCACCCAAGCTATGAGCGCACACACACTGTGGCAGCAGAGGCTTCCTCGGGGCTCAGACTCAGGCTAATGCTGCATGCCAGGACCTGCCGCGGTCTCGGCCGGGCTTCCTGGGACTCGGTGTTTGCGGGCTGATTGTAAAGCCCGGAATGACTCTCACAAACTCGGCGTCATTCCCTGTGGTTTTCCAAGTTTGGTTTCTGATGATACTCCAGGTCTTAGGAGACATGCTGAGTATTTATTATGCTCACATTGAAGCAGCGTTAACCCTCAAGGTTGATCTGGCTCCCTGACTTTTTTCCTCAGGAGATGTGGCGATGGAACACTTTTCCAGTACGATTGTTTCCCGCTCTGAAGAGGTGTGCAGCACGCAGATCCCTCAGCCAGCTCCCATCTGCGAATGTGCTGTCGTAACTGGGACTGTGACTAAGGCTCCAAGGAGCGCCCTGGCATGGCCTGCTTTAGGCTGTAAAGACCCAGTTTTACCCTCTTTTTGTGAAGAAGCCAACAGGGCATGGAGTGTGGTCCAGGTTTCATCAGCTGCGATGGCTGGTGCTCCATGGGCATGACAGCGGGAAGGCACTTCCCTCTGTAGGCCCTGAGATCTGTGCTGGACTCAGCTCTGTGGCCATGTCCAGGGGGGCAGCCACAGACCATGCATGGCAGGTCCACAGCTCTGTTCCATGAGAATTTTATCTACAAAAGCGGACTGGCTGGCCTCTGGATCATAATCTGCCGACCCCTGGGTAAGAGATTTTAAATATTTACTTAATTCTCTTCAACAGAAGGGAGCGAATAATGGAAAAGACCTGATAAATGGTGTAAATCCAGCTCGCTTAACTGAATTTACAGTATTTGGTATATTATGCTTTTAGGGGTTAAAATGGGTCACATAAGAACAGCATGCCCTTGACTGGCCTGGTGGGGTACCTCAGTGTTTCAACATGTGGTTCCCGTGCTCACTGGGGCTGGAGGCCCCTGTCAGTAGTAAAGTACATCTGGGGGTCTGGGTTCTTCTCCTGACTTTGTTATATTTGTATTAACTTATACACGGTTAGATTTTGGGCTAAATCTGGGTGGAAATGGGTAGCTTACAGGCTGCAAAAGTTCTGTGAATCCTTTTTCCCCCCCAGTTGATTAATGTTATAAAGATTAGAATATTATTACATAAAAGCTGGATTTTTAGTTCCTTTCACATTGGAATAGCTGCCAGCATTGGGCCTGCATTCATTTCTCTAGGGCAATGGTGGCTGCGGTAGAAATGGCAGCCCCCCACTAGGGTGTGTTTGCTGGGCCCACAGGCCCCGCCCTCTGGACTTGGTCACCTCGGCTCTCAGGTTACCCACCTTCCTTGGTTTCTGATATTGCGTCCCTGGACTGCACGACATACAAGTCTCTCACCACAACAAGACTCAATGATTCTGTGTGTTAGAAAAAAAATAGCCAGTGAGGCAAGTGCATACTCATGCTGATGAATTCATAGGATTAACTCTGGAAGTTGATGGCAGTTTGTATCCTTCTTCCAGGTACTCTCCACTTCTCCTGGCTAGAAAGGTTCTGCCACCCGTGCTGAGGTCAGGCCCAGCCTATGGAATGGGAATGAAAGTGACTGCCCCTTACTGGCAGAAATTTTAAAAGCCACGCAACATTCCCTCCCCCTCCCCCTCTGCCATGAGCCTGCCAGTGCTCAGGATGGGAAAATTGTTTCACCTGAGCCTGAGGATGCAGGTGCTACCCCCAGCCTGCAGTGGATGAGAAGCATGGCAAGTGGTTCAGCTGTGTGTTTTCAAGCCATGGAGGTGTTTGGAGGTGGTTTGCTATTCATGCTTTGTCCCTGCAAACACAGCCGTGGAGAAGGCCAGCAGCAGAGCCTGACCTGCTCGTCTTACCTGTTCAATTACTTTTTGAGGAAGTATGGCCGTGAGATGAGTAAAACATGATTCCTACCTTTAGGGACCTCAAAGCAGTGGATTAAAGGAAGTCACAGATCAGACAAACAGCAACACAAAGTTCCTAAGAGCAAACTTTAAGGTCAGCAAGTCCCTCTTATCCACTGTTTTGCCTTCTGAGGTTTCAGTTACTCTCAGTCAATCATAGTCCAAAAACATTAAGCGAACAATTCCAGAAGTAAACAGTTCATAAGTTTTAACTTGTGTTCCATTCTGAGTAGTGCGATGAAGTCTCGGGCCGCCCATTCAGTACCACCTGAGGCGTGGCTCCTCCCTCTCCAGCAGATCCACCTGTCTATACTGCCTGCCTGTCCGCCACCTAGTGGCCATCTCAGTCATAAGCTCATCATGATATCTCGATGAAACCATGCCGTGTTTTCAGGGAACCTTCATTTTACTTAATAATGGCCCCAAAGTGCCAGAGTAGTGATGCTGGTAATTCAGAAATATGAAAGAGAACCTGCAAAGTGCTTCCTTTAAGTGAACAGGTGAAAGGCCTTGACTAACCCAGGAAAGGAGAAAATCATACGCTAAGTTTCCTAATATCTGTGGTGATAATGAATCTTGAACTTGTGAGTAAGGGAAAAGAAATGCATCCAAGTTTTACTGCCACACCTCAGAGTGCAATCGTTACAGCCACAGTGCATGGTGTTTGGTTCAGATGGAAAGGCCATTGAATTTTGGGGGTGGAAGTGGGGACAGAACAGAAGCATGTTCTGATTGATGGCAGTTGGGTTCCTTACCATCTGTGGTTTGAGGCATCAGCTGGGGGTCTTGAACTGTTTGCCTCCAGGACACAGGGTACAGAGGGGATAAAGGGAGACTACTGGCTCTCTCAGTATCCAGAATAAACAATAGATTTTTGAAACAGTCCTTAGAAAATACTGGGAGTTGCATATTGGCCAGTCATATTCTCTAAAGTTGTTGCTTCTAAAGCGGGGGGTGGGGGGGATGACAAAATTTCAGAAAAGCAAACCTTTAGCAATCTAGATTTTCCACGGTGTATGTGTATATAGGAATGAAAGGCTTGGCTGTTTGTAATTTGTATGAGATTTAAAAGCAAGTGCAAAAATCTGACTTAAAGATGAGAAAGATGAGGTAGGGAAAAACAGGTGCTTCTCTGGAAAGTAACAGCAATGTTGTCCCTCAGGAATGAATGCCTAACCTTGTGTAGTTGAATCTCCCTTAAGTGTGCTTCAGGCAACATGGATGTGAGCTGGCTGCGAGCTTTCTGAAGTGGAAGTAATTCAGTTCCCACTCAGGGTTCAGTTGCAGCAACTCTCTCAGCCGAGTGTCTAGTTAGTAACCTTGTAACACAAACCCCAACTGTGCTGGGGAATGGGGAGGGTGTGATGATAAAAGATGAATAAACTATAGTGTTCAGCTCAGCTGGGAGGGGCTCCCAGAGCATCAGTGGAAGCGTGTTACTGCCTTTCCAGGTAACTCTGTCTCTTCCAGAACAGCCCCAAGGACTGGTCTCTAGACTTTGGGTTGACTTCAAGGAGAACAGCCAAGGCCTTGCAGAATCTGGTCTTTGGAGCTGGTGTGCGTGTCTGGAAGGATCCTGGATCACAACCAGTTCGGTTATTCCTCAGTTCTTGTGCTGGGCATTGGGTATTCCATGTTGATGAGTGGTTGTGGGGATGCCAACTGAAAGACCAAGCTAGACAAAGGCCTACAAAAATTGCAAGGAGGCAAATCCCAGAAAGGACATAGCAGGAAATGTCATACAAAATGAAAGCAGATGAGAAAGATGGCTTGCTATTAAGGTATCAATGATGCCAAGTCTCATTTTCATCTTGGTCTGGACCCTAGACAGCAACAAGGTACAATGGAAATCTGATTTAATTAAATCAATACTTATGTAAAATATTTTAAATATTTTTTTAGAAGAATGAGCTAGTTTTCTCCAGATACAAGAGAGAGGCTAAAGGTGTCTTTTAGCCAATTGATACATTCTTAAAGTGAGATTCAAAGCATTCCTTTTTCTGAACAAATTATTTTTCATGAAAAAGAAATTTATGTATTATTGTCACTAGTAAACTTGGAATTTTTGGTTTCCTATGAAGCCCTAAAAAATGTCTGCAGGTGTATCAATAAGATTTTCTGCGCCATTTACAAATAGTGAACATTTTTATACCATTAATTTCACATAATAGTTACACCACTTTATAGACCTCGTTTCAATGCCACACTTCCAATTATAAACATAATATATTAAGTTGTTGTATTTAGTTCAGAATGTAAAGTCTGTTACACATTTTCAGGAAAACTTTTGAGATGCAGACAAATTTGTGCTACGTTTACATGCTTAAAATGGTCACAGTGAGTTCTTGTAATCTGTCTGAGAATCTTCCACTCAAGATGCAAAATCACTCGTAATGATATTTTAAGAACATCTCACCCATTTGTGGTTCCTTAGAAATCCAGGCACAGGCCGGGCGTGGTGGCTCACGCCTCTAATCCCAGCACTTCGGGAGGCCAAGGTGGGTGGATCACCTGAGGTTGGGAGTTCAAGACCAGCCTGACCAACATGAAGAAACCCCATCTCTACTAAAAAAAAACAAAATTAGCTGGGCGTGGTGGCACCTTTCTGTAATCGCAGCTACTCAGGAGTCTGAGGCAGGAGAATCGCTTGAACCCTGGTGGTGGAGGCAGCAGTGAGCTGAGATCATGCCACTGCACTCTAGCCTTGGCAACAAGAGTAAAACTCTGTCTCAATAAAAAAGAAAAAAAAAAAAAAAGAAATCCAGGTACAAAACACAGAAAATGCTTTGAATGCTTTCCAGATGGTCACATTTTCCAGCAAGAACATTTTCAGATGCTATATTTATTAATGTGGTGAGAGTTTTAAAGCAAAAGTAGTAGTCCTAAATATTTTGCACACTTGTTGGAGACATGCAACATGAGCATTCAAGTATAATGAACCTTGGGGTTGAGAAGATCAGACAGTTGAATTCAGTAGTTAGCAAACACCCAAGAGATGTGTAATGACAGAGACAGTCCTGTGCTGCTCTTGCATTGAGAACTCACGCTTCCCAACCAACGGTGCAGCAATTGGGCATTACGTACCTCCTATGTACCAGGCACCATGCTAGACACAGGGGAAGCAACTATGCTGAAAACCTGGGTCTGTTCTTTAGGAGTCAGAGTCCAGGGTTAGGAAACAGACACACTGGCAAAAGCATTAATGACCCAATACAGCAACATGCGTGTGCTGAATTGCTGTGATCCACAGAGGAGGATGCCCTAATTCTCCTTGATGTGACAGTCACTTGTAATGCCACTGCTCACCTAGTGACATATGCAAATCTCTATTATGTTTGGGGGATTATTCCCTTAGGAATCTTGCGTCTCTAAGGGAGAGCTCAGAAACTGTTTTCCAAGCTTCCCGTGGCAGCTCCGGCCCAGGTAGGCCCTGGCTTGTTCCATTTGTGTACAGCGCTTCTAGACTTGATTCTGAGCAGAGGGAAGAAAGAGGGCAGTGCCGTGGAGAGAGATCTGAACCCAGAGTTCAGAGGCCTCCTTGGAAGAGTGCCCTGTGTTGTTGCAGTGAGAGCCGTGCACCTGTGCCCAGTGTGGAAGTAGCTGTATCTTCAGGGATATAATTGAGGTTTTGTTCTTGGCTGAGTATCCTTTGAGCCTGATTCTGTATGCCCTTCCAGAGATAAATTACCCTTAAGGTATCGTACAGAAAAATGGATGAGAGATAAAAGATTACAAATTGGGTTCAGTGTATATTGCTCAGGTGATGGGTAAACCACCACTAAAGAACTTACTCATGTCACCAGATACCA